TATTTTTTATTTAACTTTTTAATAAGTAATATTATATTATTATTAAATATTTTATATATTTTATAGTAGAAACTAATAATAAGGCTAAAATAAAGGAAGCATATGAAAAGGGCATCTCCGCTTCTCCAAAACGCAGAAATATAAAACCTCCAAAAAATAAAAAAATATTATTTTTAACAAGTTCTCGAACAGTATTATCTTCTAATAATACAACAAATAATAATAACCTTCAATAATCTTTATCAGATGAAAATTCATCTTCTATTGAATCATCTGATGAAATTAGTTCACTATTAATTAATAATAGAGAATTTCGGTCTGCACCACCTATTAATGAAATTGTAGATGATGATAATAATAATACTCAACAATCTTTTAATAGATAATAATACTCAACAATATTCTAGTGAAAATATAATTGAAGTTGATGATAATAATGATACTCAACAATCTTCTGGTGAGACTATAATTGAAGATAATAATGATACTCAACAATTTTCAGGTGAGACAATAATCGAAGATAATAATGATACTCATCAATCTTTGGGTAAAAATTATTTAATTTATTTATTGTTTTTTAAAAAATATATATAAAATTTTGAAATATAATTTTTTTTTTTAATAAAGGTTCTTAAGCAGTATCTGAAATTGCATTTAATAATCCTATTTCGAAATCTAAAAAATAATCGGTATATATATTTATTTAAATAAATATGATTTATAATAATTATATAATATGAAGTGTGGCGACTTAGTGAAGTGGTCTAGTTGTCACCATCACTAAACATTATGGGAAGATCCCTGTTCAAATCCCAGAGACGGTGCTTTTGTAATATGGGAAAAGTCTGCGACGATCTTTACTAAGGTTGGCCTATTGAGGATCTGTCGAGACGGTGTTTGAGTAGCACTGTTGAGGTGATTCCGGAAGGCTGTAATCTGTGGGCTGTGCATAGCACGGGTCACAAGACTGGAGATCAAAGCCTGTTTGGGAAGTCCTGAGTTGGGAGGTAGCAGTGATCTTCGACGGTACTACATGAAGGCTGAATTTGAACTGGGGTCCGAGATTGGTGAACCGAGTAACCAGGTCCTTTAGTGGAGAGACACACTAGCCGAACCGCCAGTTTAGATGCACCAGAGGAAAAGGCCATATGCTCTGAAAGTATGGACCAAGAGGAGGGCGTCCTTCAGGCACCTAAAGCCTGGGCAGACCAACCCATCTGGGTTGCCAGCTGGAAGTAAAGAAGGGACCAATAGAGAATCCGGGTAAAAAGATGGTTAGAATGTGGGTACTGGGGTTGTTGTGAACCTTACAAGGGCAGGAGTACGTAATTGGTGGCTAATTAGGAAGGTTGTACTTGAGATATGGATCGGGTTACGGCAGCACCCCAAAAGTTGGCTTGAGATACGAACCCGGTGGCGGCAGTACAACAGGTACTAGTTA